TTAAGTCCTCATCCACAACCAGACTACCCCTTCTAAATTCGGAAAGTTCTCTTAGTACTCCCTCCAAGAATGTTGCTGGGCTTTTGTTCGGACAGTAGATATTAACCAATGTGTATTCAACTCTGTAATTTTCCCCTCAAAAATAGAAATCGGCTCTCTGGGTCCTCCCTTTTCCCCTCCAGTATAAAACTCACATTCTTTGACAGCCCTATTGCAACCCCTTTGGCCCTTTTAACTGAGGAGTCTGCATAATACCACGTTGCATATTGCTTTGAGTAAATCTTCTTGTTTGTATCGTGAGTTGTGTCTCTTGGAGAAACACTGTCTATGGAGTGTAGGTGGATTTCCCTGAGTATCTTATGCCTTTTACTGGGAGAGTTTAGCCCTTTCACGTTATAAGTCATCAACTTCATAACATTCATTTTAGCTATTTTTTTTTTTTTCACATTTTGGGATGTGGCCTTCCTCCCTTCTTCCCCCTCTACAATTCCCCATCACCCTCCCAGCCTATGTATTGCCTTGGAATCTGACGTGGGAAGTCCCCACTGGTGATTCCTATATTGGGGTAAAACTCAAAACATGCACGCCAACATCTCTCCTGGACCGATGTCATTACTAGGTTGGAGCAGGCAGCATGCTAGGCCTCCGGTTCACCTGCCAGTACCACTTTCTTCACATCCTCTCCATCCCTTCCCCCCACTCACCCAGCTCTAGAGAAAGAGGGAGGGGTAGGGGGTCCTTGACACAGCTGAGGAGCACCCAGGGAGGAGAGAAAGACGACCCCCCCCCATGCCACCTCCACCTACATCTTCCTAGTTACCCTCTGCCACCCTCCTCAACCCTGCCCTCCACTTTCTCTTAACCCCTCTGACCATCCTACTAGTTCCATTTTCTCTATTTCTAATTTCTCACAAAAGTCATTAAATTCTTCTGGGAACTTTAGCCTCGCTGATCTTCCATCTTTCCACCCGATTAGACAAGCTGGGAAGCCCCAATTGTATCGAACTTTTTTGTCTTTTATATGGTCCAGTAAAGGTTTCAAAGATCTCCTTCTCTCTGGGGATATGTCCACAAAGATATGTAAAGTTGTTTCCTCATATTTTATTTCAATAATGTCCCGCAGCCCTTCCCATATTCATTCCCTGCCTCCAAAATGAAGGAATCAAACAATCGCATTCCTAGGGCTTTCCACCAATACTCCTTTTGGCCGACTGATCCTATGCACTCTTCAATTTTCAATTTCTCTGTCACTGTTTTTCCCATTATTGGGTTACAAATTTTCCTCATTTTCTCCTGTAAATCCACTTCCTGTTCTGTTTTTCTTCTGGTAGGCCCCTGATCCTTTGGTTTCATCTATTGTGGTTCTCCTGATCTTCTACTGTGAAGGATAACTTTCTCTGTTCTTTGCGCATCTCCTCCATTTGCGATTCCAATTTATTAATTTGTTGTGCATATCCCTCCATTTTTTCTCTCTGCTTTTTCAATCTGGGTTAGTATCTGACCCAGATCAGTACGAAGCATCCCCCGATCTCCTTTTTTCATGAACATCTCTAATTTTGTGAACATTTCCGCCAGTTCATTTTTTAAAAGTGATTGTGACATAAGACCTTGCTGTTCCATGTTTCCTTGTTCTATTACACTTTCCCTATTTATAGGTTCTTTAATCTGGTTCTCTTCCCCAGTGTCCCGAATGACAGTCTGGATTGGTCTCCGTCATATTTTTGAGTCTCGGGCTTTTTTTCCTGTGGGGGAAAATACTTTCTTATAGTACTAGTATTTACACTTGATTGGGGGAGTTTTAGATTCCCGCTCGTTTAGTCAATCTACTCTTCATTTCTTTAAAGCGTTACAGTTCGATTTCCACTATTCCCCTATATATCAAGAGTACTGACCCCTGGATTGCCCTTTTTCCTTCTACTAACAGTCCCAAAAGACTCACTTTGTATCCTTTTTGTGTTTATGCAAGAAGTAAATAAGAGAGTCCCACGAACCTCCAGGACCCTCCAAAAAACATTCTTCTCTTTCTGCACAATAATCACAGCATACACATCTACTGCAAAAACGACAGTTCTTTATAGAGTTTTAACCGCAACCTGCGGCAACTCACCATCCTCTTTCATGCCGCGTGTGTGCTGCTTCTCCTTCCTTGTTCACTCCTTCTTTCAGCCCGCTTTTCCCAGCCAAGGTTCTTAAGATAGGGTGTATGCTGAGGAGGGTCCCCCCTCCTCCCCCCTCCAGGGTGCCAGGGGTCCTGGGGTATCTTGGGGTACCTCTGTAGAAAAGATATAACGCGGGTGCTCTTTATGTAATCCACCAGCTCCTTCTCTTCCTCTCGCTCTCTTGCTTCTCCCAGGATCCTCACACAGGCACCTTCACGGGCACCACTGGCGTCCTTCCTGATGTCCCCGCCTCCTCTCTCCGCCAGACCAGCAGTGCCCCTCCGGCCCCTGATCTCCGCCGGCTGCTCATCGGCTCCACAGGTCCCGAGCGATCGACTGCCGCTGCCCGGGGACCTCCACTGCATAAGCCGCTGCCAAAACACCTGGTTCAGCCTCCCAGCTGGCTCAGGCCCAGGATCAGGTATGCTCTAGGGTTTTATCCCATGTGGGACTCAAACGGCGTCCGGAGCTCCTTTTGCTGAGCTGCCTTACGGCGCCATGTTCCGGCTCCTCCCCCCTCTACTCAAGTCACATGTGACCTTCACCCCCCCCCCCCCAAAAAAAAAAAAATCTTCACAAAAACACTTTATCTTCACAAAGAAAAAACTCCCACTCTTCACAATCATGTCTTGTTCGTGTCATCAGTTTTCGACATCACCTATATTTGTGAGCAACTATTTTCAGGGATGAAGCACATGAAGGACAAAATATCTTGTGAGCACCTTGAGAATTCTTCGAGTATTGCTACTACATCCATTAAGTTAGAAGTTTTTTTTTTTTTTTTTTTTTGTTTTTGTTTTGTTTTTTACTGCGGTACATTATCTATAACTGTGATCTTTTAACTTGTGACTTGCCCGACCTTTTCTGCTCATCAGCTCTCCTTGTTGTATTTTTATGTGTAGCCCAAGACAATTCCTCTTATTCTAATGTGGCCCTGGAAAGTCAAAAGGTTGGGCACTCAGGTCTAAAAGGATACAGGATGTAATCACTGACTTTCTAACGGTCTGTCCAAATGTAAAACTTTTTTCTTGGCTTTGGATAGAGAGGGGAGGGAATAGAACTCCTGTCTGTTGCTTTGTTTTGTTTTTGTATTTCAATGGGCATACAGTAGCAAAATCAATGCTGACAAAGACATGCAATTATGTTGTACATTTTCAGTCAAAGGAATAGATAATGCAAGGTGTCTGCAATATAGCATACACAGAAGAAATGTATTACATAGACATTTGGTAAGTTATTGAATTGCTAAAGACAAATTAAATGAGAGCTCTAATGAGACTGTTCACATGAGTAAGTGCAAAATAATATAGCAAAGTCCATATAATTGGAGTATAATCAGTTGGGAAACTATCTAAACCTAAACCAAAAGCATTGCATGCCACCTATTTGTACCCCCGCTAGGGAGATTCGCCATCTGGTTTGGTAACCACTATGAACAAGACTGAGAGTGATGGCAAGCCCAAAATATTGAGTTTGTATTAGAACAGAAATACAGGAGAAACCTTCCACGGGTGCACTTGTTCTGGTGACTTCTACAAGAGGATTCTATCTAATTTTGTAGAGATTTCATATCCGTTCATGTTAAACTTATAGGACTGGAAATTAAAGGATAATTCACCTTTTGGACAAAAATAATAAATGTGCATTTTTTTTGCAGGTAAAAAAAGTGCATTTATTATTTTTGTCCAAAAGAGCCTGTAAAGCATTACACTAGCGATCAGTAGATGGCTGATGCCATGCAGATATTCTGACAGGGAGTTTGAATGAACTACCACGGCACTCCACAGCTCTGTGGTAGTTAATTGAAAACTATAAGCCGCCAGCCGCTAAGGCTGCCGAGACTTGTAGGCACTCAGTCACAGAACTCTGTGAGTGACACGGCCGAGTGGGCACAGCCCCACACGGCCACGCTGTTTTCAGATCTGACAGATGGTACGGTGAGAAGTTTCCCTGTACTATCTGTCAGAAGGAGGGGAAAGTGGTGAATAAAGAAATGTGTGCTTTTATGCTATGCATGTGTATAATTGTAACAACTTCCATAAGGGTATGTTACCATCTACTTTTCCTTTTGGTAGATTGCTCCTTACATCCCTTCTCAGGTACAGGGAATCTGACGGGAAATCCCTTTTTATTCAGTTGACAACAAAATTTTGACATTGAGTAATGAAAAGGTTGGAGCCTCTTTTTCTAATATGCTCCCCCCATCCAATCCCCACACTATATTTCTTGTCCAAACATCACCAGTATATAAAGAAAAGCCTGACAACTTGTGACTCGCCTTGGTTTGTGGAAAACCTTGTTGGACAGATATACCCTTCAACAACCCAGGGGCTGTTGGCCACCCACAGTGAGCTCAGGAAACAAATAGAGCAGTCCCCATGGGGCCTTACATCCTGATTCTGGACTGACATTTCTGCTTTCACAGGGAGGACATAAAGTGAAAGTTGGTGAACATTTCATGTTAAAAACTGTTTCATTTGTCCTAACACACTTCTTTTTTTTTTTTTTTTTTTTTTTTTTTTTAACCTTTTCCTAAAAAAAATAAGCAAAAAAACCCTCCACAGTTCTCTGAAAGGATGGCATGCTGTCACTTCAGAATGCACTGCGCATGCGCCAGTGAGGTCAGCAGCTGCAGGACTAGCGAATATCTCCTAAATGTGCAGTTTTCCCTTGTACCTACAGATGAGCTTTATCATAAGTGAGCAAGTGGTGTTTACTACTGCTTTTAAACAAGTTTTATTTTAGTATCATGTTTGTTCTGTATAAGACTGCATGTGTATATGTGATGTTGATTTATCTAGACTACTGGAGGTATTATAATTTTGGTGCTTCTTTGTTTAGGGGCTGTGAAGGAGATGAGGGAACCGCGACAGAGGAAGGACAATAGACGTCCAGACATTGAGATCTACAAACCTGGGCTATCCAGATTGCGAAATAAGTCTAAACTGGATTTTTCTGGCACTGGAATAGATCACACTGAGGGTCTTCAAAGCGAGAAAGAAAATGACATTGATTCTGTTAATGGGATAAGCCCATCTGCTGCTTCTGGAGTTGAAGTTCAGGAGGAAAATGACATGGAGCATGATGGACTACTGTTTCCAACTTCAGAAATTCTGGACCGAAAAAGCACTAAGAGAGCCAAAAAACCAGATCGGCTGATTTACCAACCAGGAAGACGTCTTCAGGCCGTTGTAAAGGAATCAATAGGTGACATGACAGAAGATATTGTAGGGAAAACCGAACAAATGAAAATTGTAAATGAGGAAGGCCTTGACAATGCAGTTAAAAGTCACAAGTTTCCTCTAGAAGAGGGCAATAAAGCTACCAAGAATGACAAATACAAGAGATCAGAAAGAGAGAAAAATAACAAGACTGGTGAAGAAAAACTTATTTATCAAGACAAGGAAAGGAGGAGTACAAGTCTGGCCAGACTAAACGGTATTCCCATTCAGACAAGCGAAGGACTCGCACACGAACTTGTAGCACCAGTTCTGCTGGAAGCAATAATAGCAGTGAAGAAGGTGTTTTAGCAGAGGTGAGTAAGAAATGTCAAGAAAAAGAGAAGACAGTTGGAGATAGGAAAGAAAACGTAATTTCAAAGAAACAAGCATCACTGTCTTCTACAGACTCATTTGAGGATGAATACAGTGAGTGGTTGGATGGAGCGAAAGCAAGTAGGAGCAAAGTGAAAAAAGAGGCAGGGATCCACTGATAATGGCTGCTCAACCAAAGCTCATAGCCCCAAGAACCGAGAGCGTTCTGAATTGAAAAAAGAATCCATGCATCGCCATAACAATGAAGAGAACAGGACTAGGAGATTTGGGGAAAGATCTGTTTACAAATGCAACACCAATATGGAGAAGAAGGAACAGAGAGAAAAGTCAGCTGAACCAAAGGGCAAAGGAAGAGGCATTCTTATTCTTCCAGCCAACACAGACCTATCCAACACTACGGGAACACAGGAACTAAGCAGCACCAAGCCACTTCCCATTGTTTCTACCAAAGGTGTCCGTGGCAGAGGGCGTGGTGGAGCTAACCGTCGTCTATGGGACCCAAACAACCCTGAGCAAAAGCCTGCTCTTAAAAATCAAAGCCCTCAGCTTCATTTTCTGGACACGGATGATGAGTCTGCTCCTTCTTCTCAGAGTGACAGCTACCAATCTGTTCCTCAGACGCCTTACTACAAATTTCAGAACTCTGATAATCCATACTACTATGGCCGTTCACCATATGGCTATGGTAGTTATTCTGTACCATATTCTATGAGCCCAAACAATAGCATCTATCCCAGTACATATTATCCAGGATACTCAGCTCAGTCAGGGCAGTATGGCCCAGGCTCATACGCTGGGAGCCCAATAACAGCTGAGGAAATTGAACAACAAATGAGAACAATACAGCAGCAGGAGCTCAGTCATTTTTTGCGATTGGCAGATAGCCAGGAGTTACAACTCAGTAATCTTCTTTCACGTGATGCCATCAGTTCAGACGGATTGAAAAAAATGTCTTTGCTCAGGTGAGGTGTATTCATATGTTCTACATTTAAAAAATCTTTTTGGCCTGCTTTGCCTAGTTTGTATAAAAGGAGTTTGTACAGCAAACTTTTGCAAAGCATTTTTAACTGGCAACCTTTAAGCAGCTATGTTGAAGCCTTTAATGTGACACTAAGTGATATGCTTTATTCTCTGAAAAACAATTAATACACATATGCTACTTTTATTATGCTTTTCATGAAATCATTTCTTACCATGTTTTTCTGCCTCTGTGTTATATCCTTTGTAAGCTCCCTAACCTCTCTCTTTTTTTTTTTTTTTTTTGCCTTTTTATTTTTTTTTATTTATTTTTAAATCAGAACAAGCAGTGCGTATTATTTGTGGTGATGTGCACTGCTTTATGCTCACTACAAATCCCATAGTCCATCTGGGAAGTGAGCAAGAGAGGGTGGTTACATTCCTACATGCAGTGGGACCATGGAGAATGAATGTATCCACCCTCTAACAGGAAATCTGATCACAGCTGCTAAAAAAAGAATTTGAAGGATGCTGCTTTTTATTTATTTTTTTTTTTTTTTTTTTTGTGATAATACATAATTTTTAAACCTGAGTTTAGTATCACTTTTAGGGAAGACTTCAGTTCCAGTATAGGGGTGTTAAGCAGATCTGAGTGGGAGTGTTGACTGTAGCTTCAACACTACAGGAAGCTTGCTAGCTGCTTGTTTAAGCCAGTTAGCTGCTTCTTTTAAAGTCATTCAGGCCTCCCATTAGCCACTTCTCCTTTCGTACAGTATAGAACCCAGGAATTGATTAATAGACGATGGGTTATATTATGGTTACCTTCAGGCGATTGAACACTGGTAAAAGCTTCATTGGGTTCGCCTGCTAGTGTCCCCATATAATCCTGCCCACTCCAGTGAGTTTCCAGTTTTTTTTTTTTTTTTGCTACTGTCCTTAGGTGATTTATTCCTTCTTTTTGGAAAACCATTTTTTTTTTTTTCTCCTGCTTTCTTTATACTGGAGGTAACTAAATCACAGATCTCTGTGAATGAATGAAACTGCTGTATAGATGGAGCTCCACACAGCTTCAAAATAGTCAAGTGATAGCTTCTTGTGAGGGAGAATAATCCGTGTGCGCTGTCAGAGGAGAGGAGGATGGGGGTTGTTTTCTTGCAATCATGTTACCCCCTGTGGAGTTAACCATTAAGTTACTTCCTTTCCCTCTTGCCAAATGCTGGTTACTGTGGATTAATTGATAGTTAGTACATACTAGTCTCTCTTGATAGAGAACTCCTAGCACTGTACAGCCCCCACATTTAGAAATGCTTTAAGAGGGCCTTCTGTAAAAGGCATTTCACCCCAAGGCAAGTTGGGCCTTATACAATGATTGCTAAGGTGAGAGTGTGGTGGTTTGTTTTTTTTTTTTTTTTGTTTTTTTTAATCGACCTTCCCTGCAGACACCACTGACTGTGGAAGGGGAGTTCCACATCTGACCGTAAAGAACCCCCTATGCATACTTACCTGGCAGGGGAGATACCATGATCACTGAGGTGGTTCTTCCAGTGTGAGGCTTATCTATTTTCACTCCAGCTGTGGTGACATTTGTGATTTTCCCAACTTCGGGAAACTCGGCTGCATAATTTTATGGTAATGTGGGGCCTGCGTTTGCGGACCCCCCCCCCCCCCCCCCCCCCCCCCCCCCCAAAAAAAAACAAAAAAAACTCAACGCAGTTTAAGGTTAAACTATTTCTTGTCCAGTTTCATTGAGTGGCCATGTGTCCTCTTAAGAAACCTGAGACTGAATAGTTTCCTCCCTATTCTAGAATCGCCATTGAGATATTTGTACCTCGCTATCATATCCCCTTTTGGGCGTCTTCCCCAGGGAGAATATGTTTAATGCTTTTAGTTGTTCCTTGTAACTGAGGTCCCCCAGTTCCCTTAATAGCTTTGTTGCCTTTCTCTGGACTCTCTCCAGTTCCAGCACATCCCTCATGAAGCCTGGTGACCAGAACTGGATGACATACTCAAGTGTGGCTGGACCAGAGTTTTATAAAATTAGTCTCATCTCTTGATTAAATACCCTTTCTAATGCATGCTAATATACTAACTTTGCTTGCTGCAGTTTGGCAATGCATGCTATTGCTGAGTCTGTGATCTTCTAGGCCCCCCCAGATCTTTTTCCATCTTGGATTCCCCTAAAGGTTCTTTTCCTAGGGAGTAATTTGCGTTCATATTTTAGCCCCACAATGCCCCTGTACTTGATGCCTAAATACTCACTGTGCCTTCGTACTCTCAGTGCCCCAGTCACTCACAATACCTTGGTACACACAATACCCCCAGTTACTTACAGCCCTCAGTACTCCTAATGCTCCCAGTTAGTCAGTGTCAGCAGAGCCCCACTTTCAGTCCCACCTTCAGTGATCCATTAGCACTCTTGCCGCTACTGATTCAAAGCACCATCGTTCACCGATGGGCTCTTGATGCACTCTGCTCTGCATGGCTGCTCGGTCAGCTCAGCTCCTGCTGCCACGCTTCACAGTTTGTTCCAGCTTTGTGTCTGCTCCATTTGTCCACTCTTTTCCCACTGAGTCCTCTAAGCGTGAAGCCCTGTATCCTTTTGGACCCAGGATTTAACAAAAATTGGTCTGTGAACAGCAGGGTGGATTTGATTTAAATCAATGATAAATCAATACTCTATAACTTCCCACAGAAAAGTCAAACTTCCACCCTTGAAAGTGTAAATAACATAAACCTTTTCAATAATCTATGAATACCCTCTCCCACATTCTTATACTGCTCATATAATGTCCAAACCACAGTCCATAGTCCAAAGTCAGAATTCAAGATATAAAAATAAAAAATAAAACAACAATATTCCAAATGTGTCCAAATCTTCCCGTTCAATCCATAGGACCCTCAAAAAAAACAAAAGTAAAATATAGTGCATTATCCTAGATACAAAATTACTGCAAGTGATACCATGCAATCACACTCGTGATATAGATCATGTATGTAAAATTAAAGTGAATCCACCATAACGCTAGTGGTCCAGTGAGACCAGTGGTCTAGTGAGACAACACTGCAACCGTGGAAATATCACAAAACACACAGCGTGATCCGTGAGACAATGATCCGTGACAGTAGTGCCAAATACAGTGCCACACTCTGTTAGGGGATAGAATGCAATTACCCTCTTGCTGTAAATCAAAGCATTTAGGATTCCTTTATGCCACAAGATAACCTTCCTAGGAGGTGCGTCTTCCTCTCAATAATATACTATGGGTCCCCTTTTCCATACAGCCATAGGTCATAGGTACCGGGGTCCCCGTTCCTCACAGGAAAATAGGAGCAGACTCAGTGGAGTAAAAAGTAATTCACACTTTATTCAAACACTTACATCTTAGAATATACCGTCCATCCTCGCTCTAGTCCGTTCACTGTTGTGAGTAATTCAAAAATGGCCGCCCTGCTCCTTCCGGCTCAGCGTCCGACGTTACGAATCTGACGCGTTTCGTCACTTCCGACTTTTTTCACAAGGGATCCAGACGTCAATGCGGCGGTTGCTCTTATCCTGCTCAGACTACTGGCAAGACGCCCCGCCGCCATTTTACCTATGGGCATCATGCCGATGCCTAAATTACCAACAGGACGGCTCAGATATAGAATATATGCAATTATTCCCATACACAGGGAACCGATAGACAGATATATCTCAATCTATTACATAAACACTTCTTATTATCCATATATACATAAAATTGATTTTCTCCTATAGAATTTCTAACCAAATATTTCTATAAAAACACTAATAAATCCATAGGTATATTAAATAGAATACAATGAACTAAACTCCAGCATATATCAGATTAAAAAGACACATGTATATATAAATTAACTAAATACTTTAATTATACCTAAAACAGATCACCTATACGGATAGGGCACCCTCTACTGGTCAATAAAACAAAACTCCTCAAATTAATATATAAACCCTAACTTACAAATAAAATAAGTAAGTAAGTATCTCCTCTACTTCATACTAATAGATATATCTAATAAATTAATTTAATAAATCAATTTAAATAAATTACCCCAAAATATAAAAATATATAAAAAAAAATATATATAATAAAAATAAAAAAAATAATTAAATAAATTAAATAAAATATTTTCTAATAAATTATAATAAATTAGAAAAAAATTATTATAATAAATAGAAAAGTAATAGACTTCCTACTACATTTTAAATTCCAACAATACAACATGCCTATTCCCTTCCTCAATACAATAAACCCATCTCTCGATAATACCCTTTATCCTCTAATCTAAAAATAATTTATTAATTAACTGAATTAAATCCAATGACAATCATAACAATATCTCATATCCCTATCTCAAACCAGAACATACCTTCCCCTAAATCAATAATTACCTATTTTACCAATCAGAAATAAAGCAGTTTAAATCTAAATCGATATTTA